ATAAAGCCTCTGGAATATTGGGAAACCTGCATGACATCCGTTAAACAAGAATTGTTCAAGTGGAAATTATACAAAATTTTGGAACACGTTCTCGATCCCATCAACAGCAACACAATGCAGTACATGTGCTGCATTATTGCTAAGTATCCATTCTATTGGTAGGTATATGTACGTGTATATACTGCATATTAAAAATAAGATTGAACGAATTGCATTAAAAAGACTTTTAATGACACAGAAGGTTTTAGGTTCAGTTTCTTCATGGGAATCATGTTATAAATATCTCATTTGAAAAAATTTCCCCCAATAATTTATGCATAACCGATTTATTGCCCTGAATATGTGCATGGGCCATTGGAATGTTTGCTAATTGACAGAAAATTTTTGAAAACCTTAGTGTGTGCAGCATTATGCAATCTTATCAAATACAGAGAAATGGTCAGCTTTTTGTGTAGGAAATGTATCATTAATGAAAAATGCAGCATGAAATGTTATTCTCAGAATGTGCAAATGGCTCATCCTCCCTCAGAAAAACAGTTTTTTTTTAAAGAGCATATCTCTGTTTCATGGAACATAAGTATCAGTTGTGGATGTACAAGGGATATCTGTGTTCATATATTTTGGTTCAGTTAACATTTCAGTAAGATCATTCAGTGCATTTTTCGGGAATTTCAAGTACGGCAGGTTGAAAGGAGAAAAGTATATACATTTTAAACTTTCAAAATTGCATGTTGAAACTGTCCATATCATATTAATTCATCAAAAAGCGATTTAAATGATTACAGGACTATACAGCAATACTATACTACTAAGTCTACCGTGGAAGCCTTTATATTATAAATATCCGTAATACCTGTTTAAACGATATTCTAGTTCTAAATGTTCTAAAAGCTACTGATTCTCATAAAAAATCTTCAAAATACAATTTTCGCTTGTTCCTGCTGGGAGTTATTTGGTGTTGTTAGATTTTCTTGCACATTTAGTTACCGAAACGACGGTTATAGTGTGAATATGCGATGTTTACTCAAATTCCACACATTCTTATAAGACATGCAACAGCAGATTTCGGTCAAAATTGTTGATAAAATTGCATCAATGCGTATATATAAGATGCACGCCTCATTTTTAAGCGATTTTGAAGTGGAAATGTAAAAAAATATAGGAAATCCAAAATTTGAATTTGGACATAAATTGAACCTAAATTCAGCGGATTTTCAATCGTTTCCGATACAACATGTTCTAATGCTGGTAAAATCGGTCGAAAATGTTCATTGCTAAACTATTCTCAAACTTTTTGAAAACGGTATCCTCACTTTTTCTTTACATTTTGATAAATAAAGATGCGGTTGATATTTTAGTAAATGATGTATTTTCAATTTATCGTATGGTCAAAGATTAACTCATCTTGATTTGCTTCATCACTGTGGTTAGCATTAATATTGCTAAACATTATTGTATTGCATGAGCAACAGTGCTGGACATGCAGTGACATCTAGGGAAAGTCCGACTAAAGAACAGTTTCCCAAGTTCGTTGCTCTCCGCTCGAAGAAAGGAATAATGGCTCTGATGCTGATTTGCTGATCATCTGAAATGTGCCATGTCCACAGAAAATGGAGACCCGAGAGGAATTTTGTCTGTAAACGATGTGTCCGAAGTGTGTCCGAGACAGACGAGCATACCAGGTCTCAACGGAGCTCATACATCAGTGACCTTACGACTTCTTTTCAAGTCAGGTCACCCAGAATTCCCCCTTCCTCTCCACCAGGCCTTTTGAAATCTGCGATGAAAGACTTTCCTAACCCAGTCGGGAGATGAAATCAAGGGATTTGAACTGCGCTGGAAAATAATGTCACTATGTCTTCATATAGTGCAGATGAAAGGCATCAGAAACACTTGCTTTCCGAGATTATAAAAGAGAATTTGAATCATTTTCTTTTGGCGCTCTTTTCAGTTCTGAGCATATACAGCTATATATATTGAGATATAATTACAACATGTTTTAATGCATGCCATTTACTTGAATACCATTCGCCCTTTTATATAATACATGCACCTTAATTAATGCGGCAAATTTTTTTAGAAGAATATATTCCTGCGTACGAAGCTCAGCAGTCCCGTTTTCTGTGATACAAAAATAAATTTAGTTTGAGAGATAAACACTAAAATTTGATATCTATAGGTCAATAAAATGTATGAAATTCTGCCGCATTCGTTTTGCTTCATCATGTTTTCATCCGCCCAAAATCAATCTGCTTAAAAGTGTAAATTCAATACTGTACTATAGTAACACTTGAAGTGCGGCTTTTTTATAATTGTTTCAAATTTTCATCCGTCAATTCGATTTGATTCTAAATATACTCTTCAGTTGTTCTCATTTTAATTACTGTGCTCGGGAAGGATACCCGAGTAATTCTCGAGTATTCTTTCATAAATTAAGGTACGCTGATGATTCAGCATACGCATTCCAAATATCAGCCTTACATTTGAAACTAAAGCGGGAAAATAATGATATCTTATTTAATACCGCTCTGAAAGCACAGCACGCAGTACTCGTAATTTGCTATCACCATATAGTTGGCACTCAACCCAACTTTTTTAATCATCCACATTTTTGCTCCTCTTTATGTCCAGAGCGATCAAATGAAATAATTTGCATATACGCAGTACAGTTTATAACATTATTGCTTTATATCACAGTTGTGGGGTTGTGCTCAACGTGACCAGACCAAGGCATCCTCGCTTGGGGCACCGCAACAACCCTGTGGCACCTCAGGTATGCGCAGCGGAAGTCCCTGCTGCACGCCTGGTTTGCCACATTGTGGTGAACTGGGATAAGTAGACTGGATTGGCACAAGTGCCATTGTTCTCTTGTTTTCTGCAAAGATTCTCAGCAAAGCCAGCAAACACTGGACAGCTTTGCCTCAAGGAGGAAAGACCTACCAAGGAACTGTCTTTGTATGTGTTGTGTGTGTTTGTTCTGTTCATATACGATAGTGTGAGAAGTCTTTGTAGGACTGTTCTTTGTAACTGAGGGCCTGCGGTTAGGTCTGAGTTGGAGAAGTGAAAGAGGATTTTCTCATGGACTCCCTTAAGGAGGATCCTGCCTCCTAAAGGCTGCATTGGGTGTTTTATTTCTCAACCCCTTTGTTGGATACTGGCCCAAAAACAGGTTTTTCCATCTGAAAGATGGTAGGTACTGGAACTGTACCACAGACAAAATTCAACATATTATTACACAGCACAATATACATCATTCTCATTATTTTTTCAACTCGCAGTTGGTTTTTATGGAATATAATGGCATTGTGATCAAATGACTATAGCTTTATTGACACAACAAAGTATTTTATGGTGATATACACTCTTTAACCCTTGAGCGGTGGCAGGTAGATTGGGAGGCAGAGTCAGCATATTTTCGAAGGCTTGCAAATTTCAGTTTGACTGAAGATCGCTGAAAGGCAGCCTTGGCTGGATAGCCAAAGTCAGGAAAAATCTAGGAAAGCTCAGGCTACTGTTATATTTTGACCCCCGCAATAGTAGTAATCCAATAGCAGGAATGCGAGGGAAAATGCTAGCACCAGCAGGGCATTTTTTCAGCAAAATTTTTCTGTTGAAAGATTTTTAAAAAATCGGGATTTTTCCCAACTTTGGCTCTCCGGACATGAGCAAGAGTTTTCTTTTTTATGCTGCATTGCACCAAATTTTTCAAATATTTCCCTGCTCCGCCGCTGAAGGGTTAAAAAACAACATAGCAGCATCAATAATGCAAAATTATTTACAGCCTATTTTCTTTCAAGTATCATAGTTTTCTGCATGATTCAGGTTGAATTATGTGTGTTATTTTGAGTCTAATACCAAAGAAGCATAGCTCAAAATTACAGTACTGTACTTTCAACTGAAGCAACAAAAGAGATTTTCAATGTTAGATATGATAGAATGAGGGGCTTCAAGTGAAAAGAACATGGTTGGCAACATATGGATTTATCCCTAAAATCTTGCACCTTTTAAGCAGAGTACGTAGAGACAACATTTTCAATAGAGATCCGTTACTTTAGATGAGTTCAGCAGCCCTAACTGACCAACCCCGTTGGTCACTCCAATAAGAGGAATTATCTCCAGTGCTGATGAGTTGGCATTAGAAAGTAGTATACTCATTTTCAGAGGAATTATGGTAGAGTCTCGTTTAAACAAAGCAATGAGGCTGAAAAAACACACGAAGCATTAATTTGTGGTTCCTTGAGATTGAAAACACTTACCTGCTTATAATTCAGGGACTTAAAAGATGCTTTCAAGTTTTAATTTCTTATTCGGTTTGTTCTACAGGTATTTACTGCAATTGTAAGAATCGAAACCACATTCTCAATTTCAGGTATAGCACATGATGCGTTGATCACTGCTGTAACTTCGCACTGTATGCACATTAATTGACGCGCTGTTATGTTTCTGAAATCATGGTACAGTATCATTCACATGGTGGCTTATTGTGACATGAATGAGTATCTTTCCGAGCTCCATTCAGAAAAAGTAATGCCCCCTAACCACGGTAAAACCGTATTCGGAAAATGTCATTGTTCTTCGCAGTGAATAATTCGAAGCGCATGAACTGAAAAACTAATCGCCGTTTTATTGAATGGGTTGAATGTCCGAAGTGTCTTGAAACCTGGAATGGTATCATGGCGATGGGATTCCTTCTTTTCACTTATTTCGTAATTTCGTCGTAAACTGTGAAGCTAATTTATATTTTTGAAAGAAGGTGATGATGACCCCGAAGACTTTTCTGGAGGTGCTTACGTGTATGACATCGGGTTCATTTCGTTCTACCTATTGTGATGTCTTACCATGACGTTTTAAGTTACGTAATGTAAACATGTTTTTTCCTGGGTGACCGTGATTTCGATAAACAATTGGACCGTGAGCCCTCCTTTTTCCCGCGCTGTGAAGTGACGTGTACATCGTCATCACATCTCGCGTCGTTGACGTCGTGTCACTATCATTCAGTCACATACATTTTTTTAAACGCTGGAACAGGTGTATTAATAAGTGAATGATGGATATTCGCAAGTACTTCTCATCGCCGAGCAAACCAGAGACAGTGATGGTTGATGCAGTGCAAGTCGAAGAACCTGCGAAAACTGTGGTGAGTGATTATACAGTAACCACCGGACCTTCTAATTCCGTTCAATGTGAGAAAGTTGTGATGTGTTCAGAAGGCGAAACCGAAGAAAACGTCTCCTGCGAAAGTGTCTCCAAAGAAGAAACTCACCCCGAAGAGGCCGAAGTCTGGGACAAAAGCGAAATCATCTGGCGATGATGTCGTTATCGCTTTAAATGTAAGAATATCAGATCTTCCGTCAAGTCTTTTGGTATTAATTTATTTACGATTCGAAGAATTTATGCCTGTAAGTGATTTTTTGTAACGTCGCCTTGAGTTGCGTTCGTTCATCACATGTAGGGCAGAAGTTGCTGGTGATGCAGGGAAACAATTTTAGGAATCTTCGAATTAAGTGTCGTATATTGCGTTTCAGAAATCCGGGAAACAGAAGTCAAAACCGAAAATCAAACCAAAAAAAAGCCCATCGAAGAAACCTCGAAAAGTACGTTCCCTGTGTTTTTAGATTTTTGAATGAATTCGAAAGATATTATTTTGTGCAGAAAGTGGCTAAGAAGGTGGACCTGTCCGCGGATGTTCGTTTTCCTGTTAAAAGGCTCCGGAGGATAATGAAATCCATCCCGAGAAAAACGAACGTTAGTGCGGACAGCATAGCCCTGATCAATAAAGCTGCGGAAATGTTCATCACGTATCTCAGCGTTAAATCATACGAAAACGCGTTGAAACGGCATGCGAAGACGTTGACGTATGACGACGTGGCTGGACTGGCGAAAACTACTCCCAAGTTAGCCTGGTTAAGAGAAGTTCTTTGCGACCGAGTTTCTTACGAAGAGTACGAAGCGAGACTCGGACCAGAGCCCGACTACGAAGCGTGCATGTGAAGAGCCGATCTCGTGTTATTATTGCGATTTTTTTATTTCTGAAAAATATTCCGAACTCTTCACGTCCTTGTTTATTGTGTTACCGTTATTTCTTGATTTCCTCAGACTTCGTAAGGTTTTAGTGAAAATGGCGGACGGCGGGTTTGACCCTTGTGAATGTGTTTGGAGCCACATGTTATCCATGAGACGGTTGATGAATATCGTGAGTAACATTCTTTTCCTCGTCAAGAATTATTCATGATATGTTTTTTTTTTCAGCTGAGGAACTCACAGGAAGAATGCAATGATCAGCAATGCTCTTTGGATTGTAAGTTTTTTTTAGCGTTTTTTCCGTTTTGTATGTGTCAGTCAAGCATTGTAAACATTTCCCCGAACGTTCGGCTTGTCGATAACTCAATTACGGTCAAGTTGGATACGTGGGCTTTCAAAGTGTTCTTCGTTTCTATTGGCGGAAACCAGTCGTGAAGATCTAACCTCTTTTATTCAGTCTCCGTATAATTTGATGCAGTGACTTCGACCAAGATTTACGTTTTTACAACGACGCCGACGAACTGTGCTAAGGCTTTTTCTTGCGGGTATTTGAAGCAAGATATTGTGTTGAGGTTTAGTTCTACGTACGATATCTCGAACTCAGCCATTTTCTTTTAATTCGGTTTTCGAAATTCAGAACTAATCTGTTGAATAGCCGAAGAAATTATTAACTGGTGCATTCTAATGGAGTGATCGTCACCTAACTCAGGGGCAGCCTCACATTGATAATGTCCGAAAATCAAGATGTTGTCACTTGCATATGTCGTAGGTAGTTGATGATCGACTATCTTTTTTTATCAGTAATCACGAACAAAATTCCTTTTTTTAATTTTTTTAACGGTTTCAAATCCTTTTCCATTTCTACGATTACTACGGATGTGAAAGTGCTCTCAAAACCTCGTTGCAAGTTTCCGTGACCTTAGCTTCAGAAAAACTTTTAAATTAGATTGTACTGTATCTTAATGCTTCGGAGAGTTGCTTTTCCTAATTTGATCGGCCTGATCCTGAGTTTGTATCTGAATGTGATTTAGTTTATAGGAGTACATTATGTTACGAGTTTGGCGAGACCACTTCTAGTACGTCGGTTTATTTTATCAAAGCTTCCTTTTCGTTGCATCCCGAGATGTGTGGAATTTCTTTGTCTCGATGTGTGCAGTTTACGGAGATCAAAATTCCAGGCTTATTTCGTCGTCAAGCTGATTGCAGGAGTTTCAGTGTTGTAAGCGAAGGTACAAATCATTGGAGATTTACTGATCTGCCGGCTGATGAATTTTGGTTCATGATCCTTAAAGCTGCACCCTGCAGTGCTCCTGATTTGGTTTGCGTCATATCAAATGCGAGGTATGAGCACTAGTCTATTTATGTGCTGGGTAGGTTAGATGTGTTACATAAAACAATCTTGCCCGTATTTGACTACAGATTTTGGAAATGTTGCGTATGTTTGCCTCGTCAACCGTGAGAACACCACATGTGAGAATTGATCGGGATACACTTTAATTTTTCGTTCAGTGCCTGGCTTGCAGAGACCAGAAGCGAGGTACGATGATATGACGACCATGTTCATGGTTGGATTCATGGTAATCGGGATGTTGCTGATGATGGTGCATCGAGCCAGGCCGCGGAACACCCCCGAGAAACCGAAAGGAAATAACGGTGATCAGGTCTGTCGAAAGCGTACGCGCATACGAGGTTGGATCCAAAACGCTGTTGATGCTTTTTTGGAGTGGCAAAACAGCGAATTTCAAAGCAGGTCTGAGCAGAGGAAGGTTTTGTTGCTTTAATGTAGAACAGGAATTCGCCTGGATAGAGATCTTTTTGAAGTACGGTATAGTATAGATACTGCTCACGAATAAAATATCAAGCAGCTGTCTTTCAAATTGAATCGTTGTCCCGCGCGCGCACGAATTGATTAAATTTAGCTCATGGTTGCGATTTAGTGGCTCCGAGGTGGTTCACAGTTCCTGTAATGATTGAATTCTGGTCGAAGACAGGGAGCATACAAAATACCTTCATTATCGACAGCTGTGAAACATTTAAACCTATGAAGGAATTGATTTGATGGGAGGCAATTGTCGATTGTTCGAGCGTTGAGATGAAGGGAATCTGCTTCATCTCGGAACTGCTTTGAAATTTGCTGCTCTCTCGCTGGTTTTCAATTGTGAAGGTGAAGCATCAACCGCTTTTTGTGATCGCAGCACGCACATGCAACTTTTTTATTATGCCTTGACGTATTACAGGGACCGGGAGGAAACAATCCACCGAGAGCTGCACTGTGAGCTACGCGCGGAAATCTGGAAAAAGCCGGTTTATTTTTGTAAGACCCTCTCTGCCCTCTGGCCACACTTTTCAAGCCGACCAAAGTTGATCCGGATCTGTAGGGAATCTTTAGCATTCCTGACTGCGACTGAGAAAATTGCCTCCAAAGCTTCTTATACTGTACGATAACCCAATCCAGGAGTTGCCCGTCTTTGTGATTTTGAGGAGGAATTGTTGTTTTCAGGTGTTTTTCTGTTGTGAATTTGAGGTGTGTCGCACCTTGTCTTCGTGAAGCTTCTACGTTTTCTTCAATTGCACTATGCTTATGTCGTGGGGTTTGTGCTTATGCATTTGTGTGAAATATACGCACATCTATGCGTAATGTGTGAAATTCGATTTACGTTTCTGGTGTGGTTAGTTAATGGCTGTGTGCAATGAGTCTCTTGACCAAGAATGAATTCTGGTTCTGTGATGAAAGTAGCAATGACCGCAGCGATGGCCGCCACCGACAGGATCCGCACTTGTACAAATGCTGACTGACAGTGAACGTTCTAATGATGTTGCGTGTTTAGCAGCAGTTCGTTAGAATTCAACGCCACGGTTCTTGTCGCTCCTTCTGTGGAACTTTTCACGATAGTGTACCAACTTCGGGACATGTGTGACACATGTTCTAATTCATGGTTAATTTTTTTTGGAAAGCGTTCTGGATTACGAGGAATAGGCCACCACTTGTGTTCCTCTGAAAATTATCCGAGTGCCATTCGTCCGGAAGTGTAGCATACTCCGTACAAAATTTTTCCGGTCATGCGCGTCGTGGTTTTGGTGTTCGTCGCTGACCGTTGTAACAGAGAATAGCATGGTTCATCGATGGACTCATTCTTGGTGATACTGACGACGAAGTGATTTTCGCAGATTCTTGATGTATTTTTCGAGCATGGCGCTCTCTAGATCAGAAGTTATGGATAAGGAGATAGCTTGCTTGGTAAGACCGTTTATAGGGCATTGAAGTTCGATTCTGGAATTTATCTTCAAGTTGATTTTAGGAGAAAGAGTATGAGTGGTTCATTCGAGAAGAAGTCCCCGAGGCCGTTTTGAGATTGAGAGGTCTTCTAGCGGATTGCATCATTAGGATTCCTGTGCAGGCGATCGACTCCGACACACAGCCGAAAACGGAGAAATATGTAATTTCCTCCCCATCCTCTGCGACAGATTCTTTGAAGTGCATCGTAACTGTTTGTGGGGAAAACGTTGTCCAGGCTGTGAGTACTATGTTACTCAATGCCAAATAACGTGTTCATGCGTCTGTTTATCAATTGCCAGGATTTAACATTGAAGATCAGCAGGCTGCATAATAACCCGGTGATACACACTCAAGTAGTTCCTGATGCACCTTGGAAACTCCAGCAGATACAAGATGCTAGCAACCATGTTAAACTCGCAATCATGCACTTGGAAAATATCGATATTGATCAGATGCTCTGGTAAATTCTTAATGGAGAAGTAAATTTTAAATTTCACTGGAAGTCCCGAGCCATCTACCAAATATAACGTTGAAAACGTAAAGCTGTCAACTCTCAACTTGTTTCCTATGTTGAACGAAGTTATGGCTTGTGTCCCCATTCTAAATGTTGATTAAATTCTGAATTTAACGCGATCACCAGTTCGAGCCTATACCCTTGTGATTCTGTTTGGCGTGGTGATACTTCTGCGGACCATGTCTCATTTTCCTTCCTTACTGTATTGTAGTTTATCACTGTAGCTGGTCTCGGGGAAAATCCGATTGATTCTGTAATCTTCGCAGAACTTTGCATGTTGACATGATTGACAAATGTATTAGGTTTTCCATTGCCAAAAAAGAGTAACTGAAAAATGAATTTATCCTCTGTAGATCGGTAACTTGGGTAGGATTCTTACAGGTCAGGAGAAGAAGTGAGCAGCGTATTCTCTAATATAATGGCATCCTTGAAGCAGGGAAGGACAGCGTTGGTCATTCCGAAAAAGAGAACGATTGAAGAGTTGCTGAACTCGAAGAACGTGGTGAGTTTAAGGGGCAGACAGTTTTGAGAGGCGGGTCGTACTGTGTTGTTACGAGTTCGGTGGGGATTTTCAGACTAAGGGTGACACCTGTCTCTGATCGACGTTGATGTTTGGGCCGTGGTTGTTGGAACTTGTCGAGGGTGTAATTAAGTGTTCATGTTTGATTAGAAATCCTTGGTTCCGCCGTTGCCTGGGGATGTTGCGGTGAGTTTTTACCTCCAGTCGCACAAGCTGGTGGTTGCTGGTTACCATTTATCTCATCACCACGGCCACACAAGGTTTGAGATGGTGCAAGCGGATACTTCCTTAGTATGGCTGTCTCAAGTTTTGATGTTGATCACTACTGGTCTGCAAGTGTGTCAGCAAGTAAAAGACAAGGTTTGAGAAGCATTGGCTTGGATGCATTGGGAGATGTCTGAAGGACTTTTTTTTTGCAGGTCCAGGCCTTCTCACAAGACATCGACTTCAACTTGAGAATCAGGAGAGGATCGTTAAATTGAGGAAATTTCCTATTCAAAAATCTCGTGCAATATTTTTTCTAATGTGTTACGTAGTCTTCCATGAAAGCAATTATTGGATTTTGGGTATTTCTGCAGTAGCTTGCAATAAAGTGGAAATTTTCCAAGTATGAATTTTTTCTTAAGGTTCAAGTTTTTGTGCATGTCTCCTGTTGCAGAAAATAAACCCGACTTCTTGTAGTGGGTTTATGTCGGGGGAAATCGTAAGAGTGAGAAATTTCCATTTCTTGGGGTGTTAGTTTTGCCTGCGTGAGAGATCGTGCCCCGGCACTTCCATGTGCCCTGCCGGATAGCAATCAAGCATGGGAACCTAGATCTTAATGACATTTTAGAAACTGTGGCGGTGGGAAAGAAATTCCAGCAGGGAGATGATTACTCTGACCTTTGGGGAGATTCAAAACGTCCCTCCCCCCACATTCCCCATTTGGATTTAGTTCTTTCCCCTGTGGCTTGTTTTTCTGGATCACCAGGGGGGTTGCCAAGGGTGGGAACCGCAATTTATGCTGAAATATTTTGACCTCAACCCACTGATGTTTTTCTCTTCTCAGGCTTGCCAGCAAGTGGAGGAAAATATCAATGTGCTGTACTGTACTTCAATTAGTTTTCGGAATTTTCAAAACTTGTTCAAGGTGCTTCCTTTACTTTAAAATTACTGTATTTACTTGAGGACCATGTGCACATCTTTCTTTAAATTGTGAGGGGGAAATGCTTGTGGGTCATACGCAGGAAAACAATTTTCAAAAATATAGATGTGTGTCATGCTTGAATACAGTGAAACATTTTAGGCAGGAACTTTTTAAAATCAGAACATTTGGATTCATGTTAAAATTTGGATTTTGATGTCTCTTTTTTAATATTGTAGTTTTTCATTCATTAACAAAAGGGGGTGCATGTGTTACTGAGGGATACGATTTCATCACAATTTGAGGGAGCACAGCTGTGGTTTTTATCAAAGGGACATTGCGTTTGCTTACATTTATTACTCATGTTCAGTGGGATGAACCTAAAAATTAGATTTACACTGGAGGAGTGGGAAATTCTGTGCGTGTGAACCGAAGACCATGATTTTTTGTTCGAGCCTTCAATGCTTGCTGTATGCTATACAATAATGCGTGTACAATATATCCTTATGAAAGCTTCGATCTCTCGTGCTGAGCTATGCATAACCGATTTTTTGCTAACGATAATTAATTGCATGATTAAAATTGCAATTTCTGTCTCAAAATATTGCTAGGGATGATTTAATATAGGTACATGGACATTTTTCATTGATTTTATAGCGATGTCCCCTGTCCTCGTGATTTTTTAGAAGCACTTTGGTTCAGAACTGAGCATTATGCCCAAAAACGGCTTTTCGCGTTGTCGAAATATTCGGCGGGACGGCGGCGTTGTCAGCGATCAGAAGAAATGCGGAACTTTAGAAGGGGCATTCATGGCCACCATAGTTGCTTTTCGTGTGCAACAATAATGAACGACCTTCTCTGACGTTTTAATTGGGTTGGTTTGGGATAAGCCTCTCGAAAATAATTTCCTTTCTAATTGCGTCTACTGTAAAATGTGTTGCGGTCAACGCGCGAAGGAGTGCAGTTACACTACTGTTACTTTGTATATTAGGACGTTTCAGCCTCAGAAAATTCAACTGAGACTCTCCGGATGAATGACGGAGGTATATCTTGAATGATTTTGGCAAATTTCTTTTTTGTGAGAGTTCAGGCGGATTGCCAACGTTTTTTCACGGTGCGTGAAATTTATGAGGCAATTTCACACTAAATTACCAGATTTCCTAAGTTTTAGGAGGGGCGCCAGTCGGGGTGAGGGAATTTTAACAACCCTGGGTTTTGCCGAGAGGGAAAGAAGAGCAACTGGGTCAGCGATCTTCCTGCTTCTTCCTTAGGAAATTGCCCTGTCAGCAATGAGATTCCAGGGCTTGTCCTGTGCATGATGGAGCAACAAAAAGTTTCTTCTCTTTTTCACACAATTGTTGTATAGGTAGTTTTCCATTTGTAGTCCTCTAACATGGAGGGTAACCATTATGAGGAGGACACAAAATTTTTAAAATGCCCATTTCTTTACCAGTTTATGAATGAATAAATGAACAGAAAACTTTATTTGCCGCTTTTCAGCATTCACAAGGCACAACCAAAACTCCTGCAGCCAAAGCCCCTCCCCACCCAACTCAACTCCCCCAAGACATTCAATCACTTCATATCATGAAACAAAGCACAAACCAATGACAAAAACAGAAGAGAACACACTCCACAAAATAAAATAAAATAAAACTGGACATCCTACACATATGCTGCATACAT